AGAGTCGAATTCTAGATAATCTTAAGTCACTGTTAAAAAACAAAAAACACAAACAAACTTAAGAAATTCTACACAAAAGGATAGCCATAAAAAAATCATTAAAAAAACCCACACATACCACTTTTCCCTTCACCTAAGAAAGCATAGGTATTAAATTGATAATGATAAAGTCCCTCCCAAAGGGAAGAATAACTTTTCCGGAAAGGACTAGTTGTAACAAGTCTTTTTTTTCTTAGGACTCAAGATTCATGTTGGCACAGGTATTTCTTGTTTAAAGCATATTAAGGCCCATTTGGGCCACAAGCCAAACAACAGCTATCCACTGAGAGAAGCAGAGATGCTGCGGATGCAGCTGGAAGCTGCATGGCCCTGAAACAGCTCCTCTACTTGTATCCCCGCTGTTCCCACTTCTCCCTGCTTCCACTTCCCCCTGATCTCAACACAACTTCCACCTGTCCAGCCCAACACGCAAGCAGAGTAGCTGTTTTGGGGCTGTGCAGCTTCCAGCTGTACCCATGCCACTGTCCCTTCTCGCTACTCTACCTCGCTGTCAACCCAGCTGCAGCCTGGATTCAGCTTCCAACCCATGGCAGGGCTAGGCATCTTCTAGCTGTGCCCACATTGCAGCCAGGAGGCAGCTGGGGAGGGGGGAAGCAGGGAAAAGCAGAAACAGTGCAGACGCAGTTTACAGCTCTCTTCCAGCTGTTGGCCTTGACATGGGTATAAGGAAAGCCTGCCCGGCACCGATGTGCCACCAAAGCCAGCTCGCCCACACTGGACCAGAGCCAAGCTGTTTTGGCCCACAGCTGCTTAAAGGTTGCCAACCACTGCTCTATGCAATGCACCATTTAAGAAAGAATTTCAAATCACTTAAAAAACAACGCTTTAAGCCTTGTAACACATGCAAAGCTGAGCCACATTACACTGAGCAAAGTAAGACAGATGCTCATTAACTTGTACAAGGCCACCCAGCAAGGGTAGGACAAAACTCTATAACAGGCTTGACTGTATAGCTGAGATGAGATTGTAATCATGTTTGGAAAGTTTATTTAAATACTTTCCCGAGCCACACGTTTGCAGCAGAACACTTGTGGCTCCTCAAAAAGCCCTTTGGTCCATCTAATTACAACATCACAGCATGCAGTATCAGACTTGCAAGACTAGGCAACATGCTCTCTAGAAGGAGATACTGACAGTGCTATCAGTATTTTACTTTCACCAACCTACAGATCAGTAGTCTCTTCAAAACTTAAAAAAAGGTACCCATTACTTTTCAGGACATATCCTGAACTCTGAAAAGACTAGTTAGCATTAGACTAGAATATACTCACTTGCAAATCTTTGTTGCAGCTGGAGTAGTGGCTACACCATAGAAATTAAAGGAAACAGGAGCTGTAGCTTTTAAAGGGTTGCGATGAAACCAGTGGGTCATTTTTTTCAATTGTTGTCTTCAATGCTATTAAGTACAGACCTAGAGACTGAAAGAAAAACATTACATTGATGTAACTGTGATACAGCTGACATGCTTTCCTTTCCCCTCGAATTATCCTAGACTGGCCATATTGCATACTAACTTTTAATGAAGGCCAACTTTGCAAAAGCTATATGGTTTTTTTTGTTTTTTAAAAGGAAAAACTGGAGATCTCAGACCAACCACAGACATTACATTACACCTACACTGGACTATGTGGTTCAAGAGCTTGGAAACAGATGGGGTAGAGTTTCTTCCCAAGAGGTTAACAGTGCATATTTTTCTCAAGTCAAACAGCAACTAAAAGTTGTTATTGCCAAATTATTGTTTGGAGGATTTAGCCCACTAGCCTGTGGGGAAAGATGTCCACATAAATAAATTAATACAAAATCAGGGCTTGCAGCAATAGAACAGCTATGGACTGAAGGGACCATAAGCAAATCCCTCTCTCTTGCAGACACAATAGCTATATGTGATAGATGAAGAAAATGTGTATGGTCACAGTTGTGGGATGACTGTTTGACAGACAAACAAAAGACTTCATCCTCCAGGGTTGACAAGCAAACACTTTTTAGAGTTGGTGGAAGTCGCAAGGCTTAGTTTAAAATGACATCACACTCATTTATATTAAAATTAGATATACGTGAAAGACATTTTGGCCTCTGTTTGCCCGTTGGGAGCTTGGGGCTCCATTTCTCTTGTACTCAGATATTTTAAATCTGTTTCCCTGCAGTTTTGGACCCCAAGCCTGCATTCTTTGCACATCAATGAATCTGTGGAAGCTGGGAGTACTCTGGAAGCACACCAGTTGTGGATTCATGCCCTGCAATTTACAGGACATAGGCAACACGTAGGGGAGGGTACGGGAGGGGGCACATGCCCCCCCTGACAGCAAGTGTTCCAGCTGGTAAGGGGGCACAAAGAGCGCTCATGCCCCTCCTTGAATTTGGCTCTGTTGTGCCGCATGTGGAAGTGCCAGAGCACTCGGTGATCACAAGAGAGTGACTCAAAGGCATATCTCCATCACTTGAATTTATTTTACTGTGCTTAATCAATGGACCTATTATTTCCTCCACATTCATGTTACAATAGACTGAGCTACTATCATATAACAGGGAGTGTTGTGTAAATCGCAGCAGCTCTAGGGCTCTGTCAGAGTGATGCCAGGATGGATTGTCAGCTACCATTTGCTTCAACCAGACACCTGCATTAGCAGTGGTGTAACAAACATGTTCTAAAGCTTTCCTGAATCTCTAAACTTATGACTGTAGGGCACTATTTGACAGCCTTACATATGTTTAGCTCACACTGAAGAAATGGCAGATTTGCACACGAAAGGCCCAAAGGAACATGCCCCTACTATTGGCTCACGGGACTCAGCTTCTGTGGAAGGCTTCAGTTATCTACCTTCCATTTATAGACTCAGTATCAAGTAATCTTCCATTCAGCTTCACAAAAACTTTCCCTTCAGCAGAGGGCTGAATGCTCACAATATGTTCAACTTCAGTTAAGGCAGTCTGATATTTGATGAGTGCTTACATATCCTAGCAAAGCCTTTTGTCACCTGTATCTGGTAAAACAATACTTTAACCAATACAACTAGCATCACACTTATGGATACCTTTCTGGATTGCTAGACTTAATTGCTATCTATGGTACCTTCTACATGAACCTACCTTTTGAACCTGAAAGTCTGCCTTCCTTCACTGAAATTTTAGCAGAAGGGATGTCTGAACCCATCCCACCCAACTTCTGAAGGTAGCTCAAAAGGCTTACATTAGTTTAAGGAGGCTCTTTATAGATTGAATATGTGAGAGACTTTTCCCACAAGACCTATTGCGACAGTAAGATAACCAGGGTTATCTCATTAGCTCTAGGACAGGGGTGGGCAATTATCTGGGTCCAAGGACCACTTAGGGAGTTTTGCTGAGCTGTCATGGGCCAGATCAGCAACCCCCATCTGCAGAAGCTCACCAAAACTCCTTAAGTGGCTCTACCCCACGCTCAGCTAGGTGGATGGGCTAGGGCTGCAAGCAAATTGTGAGCGGTATCTGGGAGCAGGGCAAGGGGGGCGCAGATCGCGGAGCAGCAACAGAATGGGGCCAGGGCCTGTGGCAGAGCCATGAGCTGCTGCCCGCACATCCCTGAGGAAGCAGAGAAAAGAACCGATTGCCCATCATTCTAGACAATGAATGCAGCAGAGAGAAAAGGAAAATGTTACTGTTGATAACAAATGCCTCACTGCATTTTTGTCCCAATTGGGTAAATACAGATAATCTCTACAGAACTTGCTCTGCTGTTCTGAGCCCCATTCTTAATGTGGCATTGCTTGGCAACCAAAGTGGACAAATAGCAATCACTGCCAGAATAGGCCGTTAAAACATACTCTGTTTAAGCAGGTAGTGCAAGGAGCACATGCTTGTCTGAACTCAACTAAGCACAGCTTGCACTCCAACCAGCACCAACTTCCTCACTGTCCTCCACACAGCTGATTATGAGAAGGGAAGCAGCTGCTTTGGGGCGGACCATGCTAGATATCCTGCCAGCACCACTTACAGCTCCTTTCTATTCACCTGCCGCCCCTGCTCCTTTCCCTTTTTTCTCTTTATTTGTTCTTCCTCCAGGTGTCCCCCATGGCCTGCCGTAACAGGGATCCTAGTTCTCTACGATTAAACAATAAATAATTCTCTGATTTTAAAAAATCCCAAATAAACCCCCAAATCCACTATTTTGGTAATTAAAACAAAACACTATCTCAATCCAAACAATGTATAGCTTTCCATCTATTGAGTCCTCTGTGAAACGCTATGGAATTTGAACTTTCATTTCTACCCAGAATGTTTACAATCTTTTCTCCAATACCAGATGAAGGTTGTTTGCACCCAAAAGATTGCAATTAGAGATTTTTGGGGTAAAAATCTTGTTGGTCTAATAAAAGATATCATCGCTACTATGAATCCCAATTGCTCTTTCCTCTAGACCGATACGACTACCACCTGGATACCTGAAAAAACAATATATAGTGGAGCTTTCTTCTAATCACGAAAAATGTGAATTTGGGATTTGTCTGTCTTTTAATCACAGAATTCTAGATTAAAAGGACAACCCAAAACAACCAGAGAAAACCAGGATCCCTGCTTATTAAGGGAGGCTCACAGGTTTCCTTGGTTGTCCTAAGCCCGTGGCCCCTTTGGCATATCCCACAGGCCTCCCAGCGAGCGGCCTGGCACCCTGGCACAGCTGAGATCCGGTGGGGGGACGGAGGGCCGGGGCGCTGCGCGGAGTCTGGGGCACAGCAGGCCGCGGGGGCTGCCACCGAGCCAGGGCGTCTCCTCCCACCCGCCCTGGGGCCCAGCCCGCCTCACCCGCGCGGGGGGGGTGGGGCACAACGGTCAGACCCCCCAACGCCGCAGCCTCAGCCTCGCGCTCCGAGCCACCGCCTCAACTACGCGCAGCAGCAGCACCACTTCCGCCCTCACTTACTACAGGAAGCGGAGCCACTTCTATTCTGCTTCAGCTCGCCCGCCGGCGCACGCCTGCACAAGGAAGACTCACCCACCCCCACCCCCCGCCTGGAGCGCCAAATGGCGGCGTTGCGCAGGCAGCATGAGCAGAGCGCCGATGTCATCATCGCAATGAAAACCGCGGCCAACCGAGCGCATCGATCGCGTCCGGCTGTGCAAAGAAGGACGGGGCGGGTCGCTGCGAGCTCCCTCTCACGCACCCGGCGGTGAGGGGAGGGGGCTGTTCCTCCCGGCCCCGAGAAGGGAGGCTTAGGGATAGAGGCAACTGTTCTGAGTCGCGCAGCGACAGTAACAGGCTCAGGGCGGCCACGTGTCTGTCACCCGCCGCGGAGCGACGCCATGACACGTAGTGAGACGGAAGTACCCCATCCCTTCCGCCTTTGCCTCGGTAGCGATGGCGCCGCGGCCGCGTTCCACCTTCGCCCGCCCGGGGGGCGTGGCCGGCGCAGCCTCCCCTGCTGGGGGCGGGGCGGGGCGGCGGGAGC